GATATCCAAGCTCGTCAACGGAATGAACGAGATTTCCCAAACAGTTCCTGCTTTTATATTGGCTTTGACATCCGTCACAAAACTCATGCATTGTAGAGAGCGGGTAATTGATGGACTGCAAATATTCAGATATCAATTTCTGAACACATTTAACAAAATGATGGTCGTGCTTTTCGTCAGGAGAAATAAGAAAAAAATGTTCACAAATAATATAAGGGTCATCGGGGGTGCTCGATACACCGTCAACTTCTAAAATAGCATGTCTATAAATCAGTGAAATGTGAATGGAAACCTCAGTTCGTTGAAAATAGTTTGACTGGATTTCAATCTGCTCACTACATCGGTAGTTTTCCGAGAAATCATGAACTGTTAAACATTCGTTTTCCGGTAAGTTTTCGGCAAGATTTTTCAGCTGATCCGTTTGCCATTTGGCCCTGAAATGATGACCTGGGAAAAACCCCACACCTTCTTAAAATACTTTATCATCTCACCGGACTTTGTTATTTTGTCTACCAATGTCAGTTTCTTCTTGGTGCCATTTTTTGTTTTGATGTCAACATACTCGAATTTTTTCCAGTTTACATCTGGCGAATCGTCAGACATATCTAATTCAGCGTCACAAAATTTCAGCAAATGAACACCGCATTTTTCACAGCTTCTTTCTAAACAGTCTTTCAAATGTAAATTTCCATCCTCCGTATGGCACATCGTATCTTCACATAATTCCGAAATTGTTTTGTAAACCTTAAATGTGTTTTCGTCCAGCAACCCATCGTTTGCCAACTGATTTCTACGTGCCTTGAAAGCGTTGAACAAAAACTTGCTCTCTAGATGATACCTGCAGCAGCATGTTGTTCTATCCTTTTTCCTTGCAGATCGGACAAAATATGGCTTACATTTTTCAAATGTTCTCTGTGAAATCTGAATTTCAGGATAATGTTGGTTAAAAGACATGAACAGTTCACTCTGTGTTTTTTCTAGAATTTGAATAGCATGGCTACAGTAAGTTTTTGGACCTATTCGGACACGCTTGACATCAGTTTTATTTCCAGTGTGCCGCGAATTTTCAGGTAGACACCAAAAATCATATACTGTTTTTTGAACTTCTTCAGTTAGTTTATCTGACCTTGTTTTCCTTTTTGTAAACTCAAAGGATGATTGTTCTGAATGTAAAACTCGTTGTCGGATTCGAACACCCTTTGAGATCCTTCTAACTGGCATTCCGAGTTTTCTCGCAAGGTCAACTTTCGCCCTAGATTTTTGAACTAATGGTCCTGATACAGATGCAGCTAGAATGTCGACGACTTCCCGCGACTCATCACTCCTCTTAAATTTCACCGAATTCAAGAAAGATTTCACATCCTGTATAACCGATTCATTCATTTCCAATTCTTTGCGTTCTTCCGGTGATGGTACAACCTTTCTACGCTGTAGTTCCTTAACCGTGGGTGATTTCTTTGAGGACAAGTACGCCTTTACAGTTGCAATACGTTTTAGAGGTGTCCCAGGAAGAGCTTCCTTTAACTTTCTTATTGCACGGGATTTGCTCATTTTATTTTGAAATATTTGTTGTTCCTCTTGTGTGAGCGGAAGATTGTGTTGCTTGAGTATTTTTTTCTTTTCTCGCCATCGTCTTTGTTTCTCTGTGTTTTTCTTGCGTTTTTCTTCCTTCTTTAATTTCTCTTGAATCTGTTTACTCTTAAGGACTGCCCTACTTTTCCGCTTTCTTTCTGTAGCTTGTTGTCTTTTTTCACGTTCTTCCTCTTTTTTCCGAGCAAGCCTCTCTCTCTGCTGCCTCTTCTTTACAGCAGCTATAGATTGAGACAACTCCTTTGCTGGTCTCAATAATTTTTGTTTTTGTTTCCATTTTCTCTTTTGTTCTCTGCGTATTTCCTCTCTCTTTTCTTTGATCGTTGAGCAATTTGACATACCTGTACCAATATATGATACAAATTTTATAATTTATATGTAAACTAATATATTAAGGAACGATAAAAATAGTTATCATACAATATATCTATACATATGTCATCCAATAAGGAATGAAATTTGAATTTATTATTGAATGTTTCATAGACAACATAATGGCTGGGGGTCCTCTTTTAGGTACATGTGAAACAATATCATTTAAGATTACCCCACCCCCCAACAAGGGGAAAAATAAGGAATACTTTTAGATCAATTTTGTTTAGAGCCAAGAAGATTAAATTTACCAAATATGTTTAGAAAAAAAATAAGGGTTTTTTTATTCTTTTTTTTTTTAATTCTTTAAAAAAAAATGTAATCCTTAATTTTAATGTATAATATCTATGCTATCCAATCCAAAGAGCCGTAGGCACACCTGTCGCGGATTAAAATGGGGTCTCTGAGGAGACTTCACCCCGAAATATTTTAATGTAAAAGACTGAATAAAAGAGAGAGAGAAACTATTTTCTTCCCTTTACTAATGCATGTTTTTGAATGATAATAATATACTTTATTTCCAAAACATTTTTTGTTCTCGTCGAATTTTTCTGTCCTAAAAATTGTCTTAATTTGATACTTTTTACCCCCCTCCCTAAACTTTTTAAAGCCGATTCTGCATCTCTGTATATCGTACTGAATCGAACGGGACGGGAGCGTTGCTAGCAATTCAACATTGATAACACCATTTCTTTTTCTTAAAACACACTGAAGAATTAGTATATAGGCCTTAGTTTTGTCGACATGAAAAATTGCGCTGGTATGCATAATATATTGTTGTTTTAAATTGATTACCTTTTAATGAAAGCTATACATGTATTTCTTTGATTCGCTCCCTTCATATTGTCTATGACAACTGTATACAATAACCCCTTATAAACTGTTCATTTGCCACAATTCAGCAAAAACATACATTTATATCTAATGTAATCAAATTCATATTTGATTTAGATAGCAGAAATTTTCGGGATTTGAATTCAATTTGCCGACGGTAATTGGCAATATAAAAAAAAAATATGCATACCACGTATTGTTCCGATTTTTTAAAATTTAAAGTTTGTCCCATATCGTTATCTGTTTATAATCATACTGTATACGTAACGTGCGTCATTCCAAGGGCGGATCCAGAGGAGTGGTCAGAACCCCCCACCCACCCACCACCACCACCTCCATCTTTTTGCAGACAAAACTACACTTGAGAAATGAACAAAAGCCTTCATAAAAATTAGTATGTACTGATGAATTGTAAGTCTTAAAACTTTCCCATGTCTCCCAAAGAGGAAAAGGAAATGTAAATGGGATGTAGACTGTAAAAACTGTCTAAGCAGTCAGGTTGTGAATTCCCTCTACCCCCCCTCCCCCTTTCATTTTGTGCATCCCCTCCATTTACAATTTTCTGGGTTTAACAATGAATGTGTTGATGTGTCTTAATTAAGGTGAATCTAAACCGTGAACATCTGCGCTTTTTTGTCGCGAGACGTCATAAGTGCAGATCACGTCAAAATCCTGTAGATAGACAAATTAGTAGAACAATTAAACTTCTTCATTAATTCATTGAATATCATTTCTGTTGCAAAACAAAGGAACAGGAAAGTCTAATATGGGTATAATTTTTAGAGAATAAAGAGTTTTTTTGAAAACTTATCAAGTGTTTGAAATAATTGTTTTCAAAGAGTACGAGTTCGGTACCATAGCATTTAAAATCACAGAAAAAACATTAGAAACACTGTCGAGGACATTTGAGTAGACAGAGATTCAGTTAGAATTTCGTATCATATTTTGAGACAAAAAACGTTTTGGAACCAATTAATAAAAAGCATAGTAGGAGATTATAGACCATGAGTAAAATAATAGGAATTGAAATATAAATAAGTCTTATAAACTTGGACTAAATAGGGCTAGTTTATATTATGAGACGCCATGAAACCGTGAAAGATTTCCTGTGACGGACAAGTAAAAACATGCGAAATTCCACATGAGCTATTTTTATGCATTGAAATTCATAAAATAATGTTTAAGCAGATCCTTGATACACTCCTTTCAGAATTAAATTGCATATTTTTTCTGAAATTTATACGACGGACTAAAAAAATCAAACAGTAAGGGTTATATGGAATCACAATGTTTAAAAAAAAACATAACGTGACATAGGGGTTTTATATGATATGAGTTTCAAATAAATGCTAAAACGTTTGAAAAGGATTTAAAAATGAACCTAAAATTTTTCAAGAACTCTTGTAAGCATCTGTTTTTGATAGATATTTGTGTAAATCAAATTTCCAGTACTTTAAAAATATACAACACATCTCCATAAACACCCTTACCTGATCAAACTTTGAATTTATCCCCTCTTTTTTTTCCGAAGTCTACCTTCTATCTTCATGCGTTAAAGGGCGTATTCACTCAGATCTAACGATTTTTACGTCAAATTACTTATGATGTCATAAAGACGATGCTTTTTCCCGCCGACTGATATAAAAACTATCAATATTACAATTTTATAAATCGCTCATATATGTATTACAATTTTGAGTATATGCCTCAAACGTTACCAGTCTACATGTGTGTCTATGCATAAATATCAAAGGTATTAATATCTTAATGTAGATAAAATAAAAAAATAATGACATATTTCCGAGTTTCAAAAGATTTTCTAATTTATTTTGAAGCAAAGTACTCAAGAGGTATTATTTATTTACACAATTATAGAGTAATGCATGCCGATATTCTCATTAGAATGAAAATCAATTCAAAGCGTCACCAACACAGTGCGTAACGATATTTTTCTATAAACCATGATGTGATAACTATTCTTAAGATTAAGATACCACAAAATTGTTATCGGGAAATGTAAGATATGAATTACCAATGGATATATACCTTGCAGCCTTTTTTGTTGGTTATATCTAAAATATTATACTATAATGTCCAACATATGATAGGAACGTCCTAAAACTTCACTTACTATAGTCTTGGTTGTTTGATTAAATGTTTCATATGTTTTTTTTCACATTAAACAAAGCACAAACAATACTTACACGTCTTCGGTACTTGAGTGGCAAAAAAACTTGTTAACGGGACAATCAATCTGTGCTGTTGCTGAAATTTAGATTTACTAACTCTGTTACATGTTTCATGAAGCCAGAGTAAGTTTTAATCAATTGATTCACAGACTTAATGACACCATCCAGACGTTTGATGCAGAAGCAATCATATTAGAGCCCATACTAAATGCATTATTGTCTGTTCTCTGAGACTCCTTGCTATCATCAATAATTCATTTTCTGTATTTTAACATTTACTCAGTAGGTTTATAGTTGCACACTGAGTCACTGATTTGCTGTTTTATTAGTGTTAAGCACATGTACCTATACATATAGAGTTCATGGACACGTGATGTACTTTGAAGATACCAGCTTTTGCATCCGAGTATTTGGTCCAGGATTGTTTTCGTTAACATAAGGGTTAATAGGATGTTTCTAAGGTCAGACCACACGTTCCTCAATAATATATCATTTTACCCAAGAATTTGTCATTGAAATATTGCTACTTTAAAAAGTTTATTCACCAAAAAAAATGAGGTACCTTACCAGGCATTTGTGCAAAATACCAGAGAGTAGTGTTTCCTATATAATTTTTTTGGTAATCTTTTGAATTGCCAATATTACAAAATTTGATGTACTTCTTTTTTAAGACATTTTGAAAACAATTTAGAAATCAAAAGAGAATGACAATCATGATTAATTAAGGTCTTCCGTTTCCAACGGAAGACCTTCTACTGATTGTGATGATTAAGATTATTCTTTTTTTTTTTTTTTCCTAGACGCCAACTTTGACGCTTCATATCTTCCTCATTCCTAAACAGATTTTGTTCAAATTTTCAGAGCTTTTAGACTTTACAAAACACTGTCAGAATACCGTAATACAATTGGGAAATTACCTTCTGTTCACGAGTTATTCCCCTTTGATTGAATTTTGCATGCCTCCGTTTTCCAGACAAAGGCTCAGAAATGGTTATAATTGGAGCACAAAACCCTTTGAAATTGAAAAGAGGAAGCATTGAAGTTGTGCACATCGGTTTTTGTTTTTTGATTTTTGCATTAAAAATGGCGCTAGAGAGGGGTCAAAAGTTAGAACGCGGAAAACAGCAAAAAATTTGACATATTTTCCTTTATATCTTAAAAACTAGAAATATTTTGTTAAGACATGTAGAACAAAAGTTGTGCATAATTGCAAGGGCTTTCATATTATACTATTTAAAAGGGGCTGGCCCCTATGATTAGGGATCTTGGGCCCTTAAAAGTTTTTGCTTTATAACTCAAAAACGGTAAATATTTCGATCTGGATCTTGGGAACAAAATTGTTCTTTTACACTTTTTTGATCTAATGAAAATGTTGTTTTGTTCGAGTATACCATGGGTATTGCGTAATAGGTATTAGAAAGCAGGCCAGGTAAACAGGTAACGTTTTTCATTCGGCAAGGAAATCAGACCTCTTCATGTGTATAACTTAAACAGACTTGCTATCAATAATATACCCTGCGGTATTTAATGTTAATTTTCTTTTAAATAAGGTTTAAAACGTGGTTTATGGTTCACTATTAAATTATTTATTACAACTAGTCTTTCTTTTCTTCTTTTTTAAATTAGATTAATAGTGTTTAAAAGCGGAGAATATTAAATCTATCTTTCTACGTTTATTATTACAACAAACTTTGTAAGTGATTTTAAACTGTATGCATTGAATAATTCACGATCATTAGCTGTATGCATATTACGGTCTCCATGTTCAGCTCGATGTTTAGTTATGTAACCCAACGCGCGAATCCCACGCTGTTGATCGAGGTCACCAGTGTACTAGCCACCTGTGGCCATAAACAAAGCTAGTATTTGTGATCGCGTATAATGTAAATTTTGTACAAAGAGCTATTAATTAATGGAAAGTTATGTTTTTAATTATATCGAATCAGTAAGATTACTTTACCGATCTTTTATAATCTTAATTCCAAACACTGGTGCATAAAAATCATTTTGAATTTTAATCGCTGTTTTTGTCTGTTCACGCAACAATACATTTAAAAAAAGTATTGCTCTATCCCGTGTTGTTGTATTTTAATTCATCTGCAATTGTAATTGAATGGGGGCTTCGGTAAATAATTGTAATTACTACGCATGCTACGCACATATTATTTTTACCATCACTCTTGTGAATGTCCATTTATTATTTATAAAATTAAATAAACATTAACATAAATAAAAATTCCTTCAAATATACATGTACTATAATTCAAGTCTTTGTAATATAGCAAACAGTTTCATCCATCTCTGCCGCTTTGTGTCTTAAGTGTTGTAGTCCAGTCCTCGTTTACATACACGTTGCCACAGAGAGCCGCGGGCACCTCGATGTTGAAATACATTGTGTACTCTGATAGTTGCTCTACACAGCACAAACAACTAACGTGTACATGCAGTGTAGTAATTGGCAAAGATTGTTTGAAAAATATAAACTCGCATGTGTTTGCTACGAAGCATTCATTTTAAAATTTCATTTACATGTAGATACCTTATAAAGAACAAAATAAAGTAAATGTATAACACCCAGAACAATGGTTAAAAATTAAAATACAAATATCGTGTGCTCGGAAGGGAAGATGGCTTGAAAGGGTGTGTCTGTGAATGCTTAGATCTAGCAACACACTTCGCAAAGTTAAGCATACTTGTGTCCAAATCCTTTAAAAGTGGGGACAATCCCCAATCCTTGCACCCTTCCTTTTTGAATCTAAAAATATATACCATACTGAGAGTTGTATATAGAGCGGGAATGTTATTTTATTAGTCCTTAAAGGCACAACTTAAGAAATGACATAATTTTTTTTTAGATAAGATTGTTTCGCGATACAGCTGTGATAAATCTTAGGAACTTCTAAAGTTATAACTTAGGCATATCTTAAGATATGTCTTACGACATAACTTAGGAAAGGTTTTTGAAACAGGCATGTCAAGCATTCAGTCAGATCTATTACGACGTCCATATTACCATATAAGAGAATGAAATTTTGTTTTGTATATAAAGTGGTTATTACAAATATGCGTGTTACAAAAATGTATGTTGAACAAATTTTCAGAGCTTTTAGACTACAAAATTTTTCAATTAATATTAAATAAACTATATACATAAAATAATACTTTTAAACATACAATAATTCACGCCTTCTTACAGCAGACAATTTATTCCGCTCTGTCTCTGTGTTTAACTTCAAAATTTGTAACCCACTCGTCGTTCACACGTGGCCGCAGAGATTAGCGAGCCGCGGTCATATCGAAGTTAAAATGCAATGTGTACTCATAGCGATTAATGGAAAATTGTGTTTGAAATCATTTCAAATCTTAAATATTATTTTATTTCACTCTATCTCACGCTTATTTTTATCATTATTTTATCCGCCTGTGTATTTATTCATTTTAAGTTATATGCATTTTAATTGCCGACTTAACCACTAGGTTTGCAACAATTTATTTTTCTGTCTCATGTTTTAAACTGCATGTACACATGCATAAAAATTGTAAGTGGAGGTGAGTCAGGTGACGTTTTCAATTCTCGGGAAAATCGAAAATTAAATTAAGCACTTCTAAGTTTGCATTATTTGCTACCAAACTTATAATTGTATTGTACAGAATGATATACTTGTGCATTTCTTTTATTTCGTCGAATAAACAGAATATCCCAATACACGATTTTACGGATACATGCTTGTAAGTACATGCAGTTTTACATGGAAGAGCGCCCAAACTAAATACATCCTGAGCTTTCAGAATACACGTGCTTGTGTACAAAGCAAATGGGTAATTCACAGATAAGGAAAAACACAAAAAACATGTCTCCATAAATTAAATACACAATCGCAATGATGTTTTGATTGATCAGCATACGGTTTTTTATCCTTCGTCCATGCATTTCGACTATACGGAAAAAGATCCGATTCAGTAAAATTATAGCAAACGAGGTTGAAAATTGTCGGACTTTTAATCCAAATTAAAAAAAAAAGTGTTGGTCCTTTGAATGGCAATATATCCGAATAGTAATTAAACAGCTTATCAAATATATCACGGCGTCCATATAAGGATGAAACTGTTTGGTAAATAAAGTGGTTCTTACAAATATGTCACAAATCTTAAACATCTAAATAATTATTTAATTTTTCTAACAAATACTAATTTGGTTCTAAGAAAGCTACGCAGTTGTATGCAAATATTCCAAAATAATCTTTCATGTTTAATGGACTGACAGGTGATCAAATTTCCTCTAATCACGATACGTACCCCCCCCCCCCCTTTAAAAGAATACAATGTTTTTCTTTAGAGCCGAAAATGTCAATCGGTTGGTTTGTTCAGGTACGTATACATATAGGTGAGGGCTGGTCCGAGAGAAATCCACAACCTACATGTATTTTAAAGTAAACCAATAATCATACGCGACATTTGTTATTCGCGAATCGTCAAATGAATGAAAAACAAGGTCTGCAACGATTAATATCTGTGACTAAGCTTTCCTATTTTATAAACTTTTTAAGGTCTTTTATTTTATTTCTAAAACTTAAAAAATGTAACGATTTAATGTGTTCATTGGAGTGGTCAATCGCACATTGCATGAGCGTCGAAGTGTGTACTAATAGTTTCTTTGGGTGGGGGGAGGTACCATTTTCGGTGCATTTGATTTCCGGAATTTTGCATTGCACTTCCGACAATTAATAAATTTCACTTTTAACATTTATTATTTTCATTCCGGATTTTTTGACTATATTTCCAGCAATTTAATGTTAACAAAATAGATGGAATTAAAATTTTAATAGGCTATAAATGGTGAATGGCTGGAAATTTATACATTTTATAATGTACATGGTACTTACGGCCTTTAAGCAGTAAGGGCCGATGGAATACGGAGAAAATGATCAGCATTCCACAGGTAAAATGTTAAGGAAAAATGTACTTTTCCTTTGTGGAAAAGAGTGAAAGAGAATAATCTAAATGTGGAGACCACACTCTCTTTATTTGATACATATGTAGGTTCTGTTCTTCATTATGGATGCGAGATGTGGGGATTTCATAAAGCCCCACATGTTGAGCAAGTACATATTAACTTTTTGAAGAAAATTATGTCGCTTCGAAAATCTACAAATAACTTAATGGTTTATTTCGAATTTGGTAGATGCCCAATGTATGTTCAAAGAAAACTTCGAATTCTGAAATATTGGTGTAATTTGCTCAATACAAATAATTGCATTCTGCGGACATGTTATAAACAATTGTTATGTGAGTATGAAGAACAACAGGAAAATTGTACAAACTGGTTAAGTGCAGTTAGAAAGCGTTTTTAAAACGCTATTTGGTTTGAGTGATAAAATCCTTTAAAAAGAATATTGATGACAACCTTAATTCATCTGGAAAATCTGCAGCAAAATTTAAATTCTAATGAGTCGATTTCGACTTCTTTATCAAAATTGCTTTCCCTAAATTCTGTAACACTCGGAACTCGAGAGTTATCCGCTAGGTGTCGCTTCTGCATCACTTCCGTATAATTTCTACTTTGACATTTCCAACTCTTACATTTTTTACGTTTGACGATGAATACTCGGATTATTGTGGAATGCATAGGCAATTAAATAGCACGATTAAAGACAAAAAATGTCTACCGATACAAGATATAATAACATATTTTGGTGACATGTGTTAGGTATATAATATTTTAGGCCCGATATCCAAGAGGGGTCCGGTGTTAACAAATGGAAGTGACTTACCTTCTCTATTTCGTAATACCACGGGTATGATTTTTTAATAAAACATTAATTCTACGTTATTTTTTAGATTTTTCATATGGAATACATTGTAAATGTGTACTAGAAGATTAATTTATGGAAAAAGACGAATAAAAAAATATTCTTGGACCCAGGGTGTATATGGGGGGGGGGGGGGGGGCTGGCCACAAGCACCTGTGCAGCATTCAAGCTTAAAAGACCATTCAAACAATACAAATCAGGAGCAGTGCAAATCTTTTGAAATCAGAGGTAGAATCAAGTGCCATGGATCTGTCATGTTGTAAATTTTGAACTTACCGGTTGTCAGTAAATACAAAATTTACATGTCATGTTGTAAATTTTGTATTTACTGCCACCCGGTAAATTCAAAATTTATAGCATGAGAGATCATTTTCATGCTAGCACTTACCCCGACACGAGACCTTATACGATCTCATCCAAAGGACTGATCTCCACGTTTTACTACTTTTCCAAACTGGATATAAAACATTCTCAATGAATTTTTAAATCATTGTGTTCAGTTGAACCTAACAAATTATTCCAATTCGCTGTATGGTCTGAAAAAACATGGCTGAACTTATCCATTCAGAAACCAACAGATTGGGATTGCTCTAAACCAGAGTGTGTTATGGCCAAGGTCATTTGGTCGAGTCAAGGTCACTGACAGAGAAACTGTAATTTCGCTAGCGTATTTGTGTACTAGTGAAACATTGCTGGTATCATGCAGAGTGTGACATGGCCTTGAATCAAGTTCAAGGTCACTAAGGATTAGATGTTTTGACTGTATGTATGGACTAAAAGAACATGACGTGTCACTGTGAACTTTTCAAGTCGGTAACACACAGATTGGGTTTTATGACGAGAGTGTGTCATGGCTTGACGCAAGGTCATTTGGAATGTTCAAGGTCACATACATTCCTTTACAGTTTTTCCTAGCGAAATATTGTAAGTTGCTTCCCCTTACAAGATTGCTTACATGTATAACTTTAGAATGTGGCATGACCTTGACTCAAGGTCACTTCTTTCTTCCGCAGCTCCAACGGAAGACCTATTCGTTGCTTTGCAACGAGCTCGCTCTAGTTTTTGATATATTACGAAAAGGTACAAAACAGATAATTGAGGAACGTGTCGTCAGACCTTAACATCAGAATCAGAATAATATTTTTGCATGTCCTTGTTAAATTGCTTAATTGTTGGAAAAGACGGGAAGTAATAATTGCATGATATAACATTGTAAATCCTCAAAAAAATACAGTAGGAAATCAGTAGCTACATATATTATATCTTTCAAAACTAACCAGCACTCAGTGAACAAATCAAGCATATAACAAACATTGGAAGTTTACACGTGATTGAACATGTACTCACTAGTGGTAACTGGTGGTTCAGTTTTTGTCACTAAATCTGAACATTGGGGCACCACACAATAATCAAACTCATTACGGTTAACCCTCACCCAGCACCAGGGTTTGGTGTCCCCATCAGGATTTCTGCACAAATTGTGATTCCCTAATCCCTGAAATGTAAATATAGCAAAAACAGATCTATTTGTTAAGACGAAAACTGAATGTATGTTAAAAATTTTAACCATAACATAGCACCTACCTTTCCAGGGTGTGTTGCTGGGTTAACTTTTGAGGAAGATCGCCAGTTTTGACAGGTGTAACCCTTCTTTGTTTTGTTATAAAAACCCCTGTAAGATTCGCCATCACTAACATAGCAATCTACGAAGTATAAATACTTAAGAGAAAATCATACATCAGACTGTTTATCATTCCAACTACAAAGAGCATTGAAAAAGGAATTGGTTGACATAAACAGATATTTGCACATTAAAAACAAGATGTGTTTGTGAAACAATGATGCCCCGTATGGCAGCTTATGGTGAAGGTTAGAGTTTCTCAAATGCAATTCAAACTCCAGGTCAAGAGATAAAAAATGTTGGTACTAAAGAAAGATCTTGTTTCGAGGAATAAACCTGTGAAATATGAAAGCTCTAGCTCCAACCAATCAAAAGTTATGGGCAAGGTTAAAAGTTTTTGCAGACAAACAGTCCATTCAAACAATACAAATCAGGAGCAGAGCAAAAACGGACCTCTAAAACATCAGAGGTGGGATCATGTGCCATGGAGGAGTGAGCATCCCCTGCCGACCGGTGTCGCATAATTTACGTTCCGGGTAACTTAGCGTTCCGACCGAAACGCTAAATACCTATAATATTGGTTCCGGGCTATAATAAACGTTCCGGCCCGCGTAAGTTTGGTTCCGGCCATATTAAACGTTCCGGGCATCCAAGCACCCTTTTAAAAACTTTATTTATAATTAATATTTACAAATAATTTGGATTTTTTCTTTCTCTTAACGGGTTATACGATGCAGCAGGATTTACACGTATATCGATTTAGAAGAAGTCCCAATATACGGTCTTAATACATGTACCAATACTATAATCCATGGAATTGTACGTAATTATGTTGTTTCTTTGTAAAAAAAAGAACGCGAAGGTGTGAAACTTGTTTACATTGATATACCCCGTCATGTTGTTTTATGAGTCCCTTCTATCGATACATGTGCATTCATGCGAATCGCTGTATGTCACTTCCGCAATTTTAAATGAGTTTTAGGCAAAGGGCACCCCGATCAGCTGGTAATGCTAATAGATGAATTATATTTACGATTAAAAAAAATTATTGGATAATATTTTGATATCTTTATATATATTTTTTCAAACACCCATTGCGTTTTTGTAAAGCCAACTATATAATTAAATCACATTACGTGAATGAACATAATAGGAGATGTGTGGGCGACGGACTTGCAAAGGTGTGAATAGACATTAATTTCAGCGGAAAATTTATAAAGTATTTAATATGAAGAAAAGCAATTTCCTGTAATAATTCAGTAAAAAATTTTGTGGATTTTTTTTTCTCGGATAAAATTTATTTTTTAAACAGTCAATGTAATGCCAGCAAAATATGACGAACTTTAAAATTTCTAAGATCCCGATTCTAGCAAAGGTTTCAAGGTCACGGCTAAAAACTATTGAATAAAACTCAGCTCATTTTTATTTATACAGGTAAGTGCACTTATCAGCATTTGTAATAATAACTCTGAAGAGGAAATGTAATACAGATACAGATTTGTATTTTACAATCCTGAGAATAAATAGTATTGTTAAGCCTGCGCAAAATCCTACCCCCCCCCCCCCCCCAACAGGGGGCAGAAAACTTAGCCCGACTGGCTAACGGAAGAGGCATAGATATAATTATATTTTACTTAACAATTTGTTGAATGTTAGTATGTATTTTAATTTCCGCTTAAATGTCACATTTTTCGCTAAAACGTCAATTTTTCCCCGCTAAAATTTTATATACCATGTATTCAGAACTCAGTTTTCAAAAGGCATATCTGAATGACATATATAAATAAACGAAGTTTCAAAACAATAATTATTTGGGAAGAAGAAGAGATTATTCTGTAATTCTGTTAGAACTTTTTTTCCGCTAAATGGAGTAGAAAATGGAAAATATCCCCCTCCCCCCCGTGAAACTAAAATGCGGCGTGTAATTTTCGTCAGTTTAAAACTGCACAGCTCCATTTCAAGTTAGACGAATTAGGCTTTCATCTTATAATCTTGAAAATGAGACAGGACGTCATAATAAAATACTTAGGGAGAGTGGAATGTGTAGAATGTGTTCAAGTGAACATGCGTGGATCTAAAAATATTTCATGGGGGGGGGATGAAATGAGAGTTGTTATAACGTACGAACGAAAACTTTAACTGGGAGGGGGCAGTGGTGAAGTAGAGGATGAATACCATTTTGTTTTAAATTGCCTGCATTTTGAAAAGCTTCTATAAAAATACGTCGAGAAGTATTACTGACAGAAGTCGTCTTTTTTTCAAATTTGTACAATTATTAAGTGCTCACAAGGTCCATGATCTCTGTAATTTTGGGACATATATCCATTATGCCTTTAAGTTGAGAAAAAGTTTTTTCTTATATGATATGGTAATTCTCCATGATATAATTATATATTACGATTGAGTCATCTATAAAAACTACCATACAATGCCATTGTGTATTATTTTGCATTGTTTGTTATTGTTGAAATGCGATAAGATATATGTCTAAAGCAATTGATAATAATATATTTTTAAGGCTAAAATTGAAAGATTATGTGTCAAAGACAGGGTTACATACTCACATTAAATACTGGAATTGTTTTAGATTAATAGTTAAAAAAAAAGTTCAAACGCTTTAACGTAAACGCATCAGGTAAAGTGAGTCGTAATAAAACACAAAATGCTCCTGTACGGCAGTCTTTTGTGAAGGGTAAAGTCTCTAAAGTGCAAGTTAAACTCTAAGGTCAAGGTCAAGAGATCAAAAATGTTGTTTTCCAAAAAAGGACCTGTATCAATGAAAATACTTGTGAAATATGAAAGCCCAAGAACCAACCGTTCAAAAGTTATATATGGCCAAGGTTATAGTTTTTAAAAAGTGGGTCAAACTCAAAGGGTCAAAATCAATGATACCCAGGGAAAGGACCCGTCACATGAAATATACATGTGAAATATAAAAGCCCTAGGATCAAATGTCAAAAGTTATGGCCAAGGTTAAATTAAAGTTAATTTTTTTTAATAGTTCAAACTCCAAGGTCAAGGTCAAATTGTTGGTATCCTAGAGAAAGTCTTGTCACTAGAAATACACCCGTGAAATTAAAATTACATATACTCTGGCTATTGTACCTGGAACGTCTATTATAACCGTTAACTTGGTCCAGGGTTATTTTATCTTTGTTATAAAGAGGGAGAAAATGAACAGGTAACAAATAACTTTGAAATTATACTCTTATATAAATATTGCATATAGTTGAATGCACCCCAAGAAAACCATTGTCAATCGAGGCGCAGCCGAGGTTGACAATGGTTTTCGAAAGGTGAAAATTTTAAATGTTAAACGCAACTACATGCAATATTTATTATATAATACTGAATTTTTATACAAATACATGTACACATAACAGTGTTGCATGTGCGTGGCTTCATAATTCAGCGGGTAATCGTGTTTTTTAACAAAATAATGTTTCTCGCCGAATCAGTTTTAACTAATTTACATGAAAGTATAATATCAGAAATTGTAACCCGGAACATTATTTGTGGTCCCGGGCTACTTCATATTCGTAATAAAGTGGAAAAGAAACAACCTAGTAACAAAAGATGTTTGAAAACACACAGCAATTGTAACCCGGAACGTTAATTATGACCATAATTTTAGTTCCGGGCTACTTTATCTTCGTAATAAAGTGGAAAAGAAACAACCTAGTAACAAAGATATTTGAAAATACTCTCAGCACTTCCAACCCAGAAAGTTAATTATGGTCATAATTTTGGTTCCGGGCTACTTTATCTTCGTAATAAAGAGGAGAATAAACAACCTAGTAACAAAGATATTTGAAAATACTCTCAGCACTTCCAACCCAGAAAGTTAATTATGGTCATAATTTTGGTTCCAGACTACTTTATCTTCGTAATAAAGTGGAGAAGAAACAACCTAGTAACAAAGATATTTGAAAATACTCTCAGCAATTCTAACCCGGAACGTTAATTATGACCATAATTTTAATTCCGGGCTACTTCATCTTCGTTATAAAGTGGAGAAGAAACAACCCAGTAACAAAGATATTTGAAAATACTCTCAGCAATTCTAACCCGGAACGTTAATTATGACCATAATTTTAGTTCCGGGCTACTTTATCTTTGTAATAAAGTGGAAAAGAAACAACCTAGTAACAAAAATATTTGAAAATACATAGCAGTTGTAACCCGGAAAGTTAATTATGACCATAATTTAAGTTCCGGGCTACTTTATCTTCGTAATAAAGTGGAAAAGAAACAACCTAGTAACAAAGATATTTGAAAATACTCTCAGCACTTCCAACCCAGAAAGTTAATTATGGCCATAATTTTGGTTTCAGGCTTCTTTTTCTTTGTAATAAAGTGGAAAAGAAACAACCTTGTAACAGAAATATTTGAAAATACTCTCAGCAATTCTTACCCGGAACGTTAATTATGACCATAATTTTAGTTCCGGGCTACTTCATCTTCGTTATAAAGTGGAAAAGAAACAACCTAGTACATGTAACAAATATGTTTGAAAATACTCTCCGCAATTGTAACCCGGAACGTTAATTCTGACAATAATTATGGCTCCGGACTATTTTATCTTCGTAATAAAGTGAAACAGAAACAACTTAGTTACAAAAAAGTCTGAATTTATTTTACTATTATCTTTTTATAAGGTGGAATACAATGAACAGGAAACAAAAATGTTTGATATTAGTCTCAGAAATTGTAACCTGGAATGATAATTATTTTAATTAAAAAAAAATGAATTTACCAGGTATAATTTTACATTTTTGCAGATACTATAATTTAAACTCCTCCCTTTTTTTGGAGGGGGGGGGGGCTCAGATAATTAACTAACATTTTTTTTTTTATTTTTGGAGCTGTTATAACCTCCTTTTTTTCAAATTTGGGGGAGGGGGCTGAGATTTAAAAAAAATGGAGGGGTGTTACATTATTGCCGCTTGCCTTTTGCCTACATGTATATATGTATTTTGAATTTTTTTTCTCCACAAATTTTGATATTCATTAAACATAATGGTATGTATAAAACGATAAAGTTTTAAAGTGTCATAAAAATTGTCATTTTCTTATTGTGTTTTATGTATAAAAAACACCAAGGAATAAAAGTTATTTCCCAAATATCTTAAGGGGTGGGTGGGTAGGATATGCATCGAAGTTACAGAAAAGTCCATTTCAAGGCCTTTAAAACATAAAAAAAAATCATTTAAAATTTGCTAAAACCTTGATTTTACTAAAATATTTGAGCTAATTCAGTTTACCTCACTGCTATTTTCACAATCAACATTGCTGGTCTTTACTTTTCATATTTCAACCTTGTTTTTTTTTCTTCCTACGGTCTTTAAAAAACAACAACAACATAATTTTCATTAATTACTTGTGTTTGTTCATTCTAAGGGAATAAACCATATCGTTATGTTTTCATGTTTGTTTCATTGCAGAATAAACCACATATTCCTGAAATAGCCATTGTTAATTTATCACAAAACTATATAACTATCTTCATCAGTGAATTATATTTTTTATGTTTGTTTATTTCCAATGGAATATAAATCATATTTTCATACCAAGTGATAATATCTATGAGGAATGGAAGCCATGTATTCGAGGCTCGACATAGTGGAATTTGCAACACTTGTAATATCATTTAAACAGAGAATGCATCTCTGTAAATACATATACCATTTTGTATTTAATTCTTTACTTTATCAGATTATAAAATTAAAATTTTCTGATCAAATTTATCTTTGACATTATGCTTCTTTCTAGGCTTTTGTAATCTCAGTCTAGTTTATCTTCTGTCCTCTTTACCCAGTAAATACCGGGTCTGAGTGCATTCAAGCGAGAAATTCACACCTGACATGCACTAAATAAACAAAGGGACTTAATTTGTATGCATTAGATAAACAAAGCCTTTCTTGCGACCAAATTTTATTCGGTGTATATGTATCAGAAAGCGTATTTCACGATCTTTATACTTGGACTATTTAATTCATTTATTTTTAAAAATGGTTGTACAAAAAGGGCATGACGCCTTATAAAAAGAACATTGCGCCACGTGAGAATGGCATGCCGCTGCGCCATGCTTAATCCTCGAGGAAAAAACTACTTCTATGATTCAGTGTAGAATGAATTCTGGCAGATAATAATTGAGAGATACCGCGATTCGAAGATTGCAGCCATGGCCGGAACCACACTTACAGTAAAATCCGGAACCAATATTATGATTTTAAGGTTCCGGCCGGAACGCGAAGTATCCGGAACGTAAATTATGCGACACCGGTCACACCCGCCGTGTGCTCCTTATCATGATCGGGAAATAACGAAAAAATTCGTCGACAATTCATTGTATAAATAATGGCCTAACAATTAGTATGAAAAAGAGCAATCAGCATTTGACTTAATGATAGATTGTATTTTCTGACAAGGTCATTATATCGACCATAGAACTTACTAAATGATGACTTTAAACGAGATTGTTGATTTGACATAATTTCAACAGTGAAATACTATAATCTATCCGCTAAATGAAATTGATATTTTCACAGACGTTATTTCCCAGTGTGTAAATATTACAATAGTGTTATTTTCAGTGTGGAAAAAAATAACTGCAGTGAAAAATTCTCTAATTTTGAGGAAAATACACCCTATAAACAGAAAGAATGAATTTACTTCTGACACTGGATAAAACATCTAAGGTATATTTTAATTGTTGTAAATTCAGTGTAAAAATGATTTAGAATTTCACAACTGCAAACATGTGACGTCATAGCCTACGTAACTGCGTTACAAGAGACACTTTATAGGTGAAAGAGGCAAAAGGAAAACCTTAGAAAATGTCAATAATAGACAGAAAATTCAATGTTTTACAGTTTAGTTATGGAATTAATTTCACACGTGAGACGGAATATGGTCATACATTTCATTGGTGCTTTCCATGTGTGCATGAAGTATAGATAAAATCCTGTCTTATTCGTGAAATAGCCTAAATTCCATATCTAACAATATGCCCTACATTTATCTTCTTACCCTCATTAAAAGAAATGGCAGGAGTAGTCTGAGATGGAGAACATTTTTGTACAGAACAGTAAGCAAAGCGATTACGATCTGCATCCACCCAACACCAGGGCTTTGAACTGTTGTCAGGGTTACGGCACTTATTATGATTTCCTAAACCCTGAAATGAAGCAATGAATACAAAATAAAGATCATACGCATTTTGTTTTTTTGAAAAAATCATCTAATGCCTCCTTTAATGTTAACCTAAACGTTCAACAATTTTTTTAAAGAAAAACAGTGTAGGTTTAAAAAAAATTTGAACATCTTTGCATCCTCTCTAGGCAATTTGTTTGGACTTAACCATTCCAGGATGAGTGTTCCCATTGATGTATGATGATTTGGACCATTTCTGACAAGTACTCCCAATTGTTGTTTCTGTCTGATCTCCTCTATAAGTCTCCCCATTTCCGAAGTAACATTCTATGATTAATAAAAAAAAATATTTAAGAATGGTTTCATTTAAAATCCTAAGAAATAACGGAACTTGATCATTGGTAAACACATTTATTAGGCATGAAGTGTGGAAGAATCCTACATTCCAGATGATTAGATGAAGAAAAAATATGCATTATGAATTCTATGGTTCTTACTTGTTTTCACCCATCTTATATAGACATACCATTTTGTCATTATTCACCCTTCTATATCAAATATATCTGATTTATTCCATCACAAAATGACTAAATTAATTTCCTAACTTTTATTCAGTTACTTTTGCTTTATTTGTGTGACTTAAGAAATAATTCTGATTTATTGAGTCGAAGTCTTCAAAATTTAGGATAAAGGATCTAGAAAGGATGATTAATCATTAATTATGGGTCAACTTGCCATCAGATTGTCTTGTACTGGGTTTGTCCATCTTCCGCAGTGGTTTCTCACATATGAATCCAAAGGCGTATTTCTTGTTTTTCCTGCATTTGATGTCATCAAAGAAATAAAACTGGACAGACGTTATTGAGCCATTTGGATGTAGGTATTGATGGGCTAAGCCTACACAGTATTCACCTTTCTTCTTGGAGGGCTGTCTATTGTAATTTATTGGCTGCCAACCTTCAGGTAAAATTATGGTAAATAAGTCAAGCCGTTTAATGAACAGATTATATGAAAATCGTCAAATTAGTTTTCAAAATGTATATTTTTCCATGGGCAGGTTTATTTTATTTGCTAGCATTTTCTAGTTGATATTAAAGCCATAATAATTAAAAGAAGAAAAGTTTTCATAAAATTCACTGTAATGATATTTTGTACTTGCATCACTGTTAGATAGAATTATAATGGAAAATGTCGATCGATTCAATTTTTATCAGGTTTTCTACCGATGTTCACAACCTTGAAGGTAAGTTTTTAAATAATAATTCTGTGTAGTGTGCACAATAATCACGTTTTCTCACGTCTGTGGAAAAAAAATAAACACTGATTCCCAATATTTCGTTTTTAGCTATTGCACTTACTCGTATTTTTCAAATAATTTTTAGGACCTTTTGAATTTTCTTTCCTCTCAAGTCTTAATCTTCAATAAAAAAAAAGATGAAGATAACGATTAGTGATCAATCAGACCTATTAAGTTATTCCACTATACCTGGAAAGAACCCGCTGTAAGTCATATTGGATTTGATTGTTTGGAGGGTTCCTTTCTTGTTTTTCTTCTTTTTCTGTCCTCTTATTGATTCCTTTGGAATGCGTAATAACTTTTCCCAATACCAGCTTGACTTTTTACGTTTTCCTCCAATCATCCAAATGTTGATGTCTGGTGAATATTTTTAAACGTTCTTTAATGATGAACGTACAACTGCTTTTAATAAAATGAACACGCTAAATAGAAGATAGATAAGAAGAAATTGTCACTGTAAATCCATTTTCTATATTTCTGTGTATAAAAGTGAAATCACCCACACCACTGATATTTCATTGCATTAGAAAATGGCCATATAATTGATAAGCTTAGTATCAGAACAGGCAATTTGTGAAACAATTGCTTGTTTCATGAGCCCTTGATGAGATTTTATGTGAAGATAAATAAGTCTTGTAGTAAAAATTTTATGACTTACTTTGAAAGAAAAGAGATTTTTAGCTCTACTGGTCAGAGACCAGAAGAGCTTATGCGATAGTAATGTGTCCGTCGTCCGTCCGTCTGTCTGTCTGTCTGTCTGTCTGTCCGTCCGTCTGTAAACAATTTTTCAAAATGCTACTCCTCCTACAGTTTTGATCTGATTTCAATATAACTTGGCACACAAGTAGACTACACTAAGATACATAATTCTGTGTATCGGTTTTTGATTTCGATGATCGATGTTGCCATGGTTACTAAAAATAGAAATTTCTGTGAAAAACATTCAAAATGCTACTCCTCCTACAGTTTTGATCTGATTTCAATATAACTTGGCACAGAAGTAGACTATACTAAGATGCATAATTCTGTGTATCGGTTTTTGATTTCGATGAACGGTGTTGCCATGGTTACTAAAAATAGAAATTTCTGTGAAATACTTTCAAAATGCTACTCCTCCTACAGTTTTGATCTGATTTCAATATAACTTGGCACAGAAGTAGACTATACTAAGATGCATAGTTCTGTGTATCGGTTTTTGATTTCGATGAACGGTATTGCCATGGTTACTAAAAATAGAAATTTCTGTGAAATACTTTCAAAATGCTACTCCTCGTACAGTTTTTATCTGATTTCAATATAACTTGGCACAGAAGTAGACTATAATAAGATACATAATTCTGTGTGTCGGTTTTTGATTTCAATGAACGGTGTTGCCATGGTTACTAAAAATGGAAATTTCTGTGAAATACTTTCAAAATGCTACTCCTCTTACAGTTTTGGTCTGATTTCAGTATAACTTGGCAAACAAGTAGACTACACCAAGATACATAATTCTTTATATTGATTTTCTGATTTCGATGAACATTGTTGCCATGGTTACTAAAAATAGAAATTTCCTTGAAATACCTTCAAAATGCTACCCCTACAGTTTTGGTCTGATTTTAGTATTACTTAGCACACAAATAAACTACACTAAGATACATAATTCCCTGTACCAGTTTCAGATTTCGATGAACAGTGTTGCCATGGTTACTAAAAATAGAAATTTTCTTGAAATACTTTCAAAACGCTACTCCTCTTACACTTTTTGTCTGATTTCAGTATAATGTGGCATACAAGTAGACTACAGAGATACATAATTGGTGTTATTGTTTTTTGATTTTGTTGAATGATGTTGCCATGGTTACTTAAATCAAAATTTCTGTAAAATTATTTTAAAAGGCTACTCCTCCTACAGTTTTAGTCTGATATAATAATAAATCTTGCCACAAAAGAGACTAAACCAAGGAACATCATTCTATTTATTTCTGTTGCAAAGTTTCAAGTCCAAGTGCTACTTTTATCTTCCTTTATAAATACAACCAGTAGAGCTACAGTCTCGTCAGAGACTTCTGGTTAGACTCTTCGATTATTTCACCTACAAAATTGCTTAAAATTGGCAATAAAATTGAAATACTACCATTGCAGGTGCACAACGGTAAAGGATTTGCGGTCACTGAGTGGTATAGGGTGTGCTGTTGCCCAGTGGTTGCTCATTAGTAGAGGTTTTGCATACCATGTGGAAGTTCGTAATTTAAAATAAGGAATTGGCTTATCTTTAACTTAAGATATCTGTTAATTCGTAATTTAAAATAGGGAAAAGGCTTATCTTTTACAAAAGATATCTGTCAATTTAACACTATTATTTATATAACCGTGTTGTAAACTATGAAAACAACGAACAGTCTATCTCATAAATCCAGTAAACAAAACGAATCGTGAACACCTGAAAACACCAAAGGTGGAATCAGGTACCCTGGAGGAGTAAGCATTCCGTGTCGACCGGTCACGCTCGCCATGAGCCCTGTGTATTGATCTGGTAAACGTAGTTCTCTGTAGTCAATAATAACCTAACATGTCAGACGAAATACGACCCAACGATAGGTTGTAATTACAAACTTGGTCATTATAATGACCGTAGAATTTGAGAAAAGCTGATTGTAAGAGGGGTTCTTGAAATCCTTGCAACATCAACTTATTTGTCAGTAGCTTGCCTTGGTTTAAAATTGGTCATGCTCTTGCATATGGAATAAGTTGGGAGACATAAACATCATATGCAGCTGATGTTGGAATATTGCTACATAAAAATGGGAAGTTGACGATGGAAAAGCTTAAGTCATATCGTTTGTCATACAGTTAAGTTGTTAGCTGGCCCTTATTGTCCATAGTCAGTAAACAATCCAAATATGAAACAGATGTGGCAGACTCTGTAGAGTCTATTATTTCGAGTTCACTTGGATATATCGAGTGGACGTATGAATGAAAGTACATGTAATTATTGTTATGGCCTAAGTGATAAGTCGATATATCTAAGTGTTAAGTTGAAGGTCACCGCAAGAGTTTGAAGTTTTTGAATAAATTCTGCTTCACAGGAATATAAAAACAGATCGGCTAATAAAGAAAAACAATTGGCGTCCAAATTCCAAAAGAATATTGGAAGACCTGGTCTCCAAAGACTACATAGATATTGTCAATGACGAACTCCAGCATCTTTTTAACTTTAACGAAGTAACTTTGTAGATGACAAGTCTCAAGATATATAAAGGACAAGATAGGTTAAGACCTCTTTTTGGCCCCTGGTTTGGAGGGTCTTTTAGAATGATGCAACAGTATATCAATAAAAACTTCTTGTCACCCCTGCCACAAAATTAGTATTAGTTCTAAGTTATGGGATACACAGAGGTCACAGGTAGGTCAGAAAATATGCCATTTTCCGAATTTTCTCATTTTTATGCAAATTTTCATTGATTTTACAATACATTTTGTTTCAGAAAACATAGAGCACAAGCTTGCCTATCTACCAAATTTATTTATTCCATGCACTAGTATCAGATACATCTTATGTATAAAAATCTCAGATAGGCAAGCCTGTGCTCTATGTTTCCCGAAGTGAAAAGTATCTCAAATTTGAAGAAATTCCACCAGAATTGAGGAAATTCGGGAAATTGTCCTACTTTTGCACCCTCTTGTGGCCTTCATGTAAGCTTTGAAATCAAAGTTAGTGCTGGTTTTAAAACAAGCATCATTTTAAGTTCCTAACTACAAACTATCACAATTTTAACTGTGTTCTGATTTTAACATCAAATAAGGGGCCACATACGGCCGTTACCATACGTTGTCCTTTACGAATTTCATTTTTACTGAGGATGTTAAAAAGCCTGTGGTCCTTTTCACAAAAAATCTTACGACTAAGATGAAAATTTCATTACTCTGTAAGTTTTTGAGTGATAGAGATATTTATTTTTTTCTATAATATTATTGACAATGTTGTCTAATGTAATTGAAAAATAAGAGTTTTTGTGATCTAGTACAATGTAGATACTTGTTGGAGAACGGGAAAATTTTTGTCTTAGTTGTAAGATTTTTTGTGAAAAGGGCCACTGCTTTTTAATTTATCGTGAGGAATGGTTGTAAAAAGCATAGTAAAGTCCTATGTTTTGATGCTACTGATGTTTGAAGGGTTTTGTGCGAACTTGTTATTCCCTGATGAGTTTTTCGTTAATTGAATCACACTCTCTGTTTCTTTGGTACAAAATAAATTGAAGAGAATTAAATTATCTAACAACAACTACTAGTAACATTAAAATCATCTTCAAGTGATTCGGCTTACTTAGTACTTATATAACACAGGTAAGTACACAATAGAGTGTTTGCTACTATAATGTAAAATAAAAGGCGAAATGCTAATAAAAATATTAATCCTAAATTTCGAAACCAAAGCGTTTGAGTTTATTATCAGTCACACGTAATCTATTAAAACCGTCTTTTTATCGCTTTTAGAAAATTTCATGCTTAATCCTACCCTGTTCTACTGTATGAAGAAGTCGAGATAGGAAGTTATGTTCTTCAATGCTTTCAATGTTGGTTAAATGACCGCCCTCCATGGAACAGATTCTACCGGCCTTGCGATAGCTTTTGGCTGTGGTATGTAGCTTGTAACAACCTTCTGTGCCTGCAATCCAACCTTCTTCACATCCTGTGTGTATAAAAATTCTATCAAATTCTCATGCTACAAATGTTTGGTTTTATTCAATCCATACAATATTTGCTCTCGATTACCTATGTTTTCCTTGCAAGCAACAGAGGCCAATTCCCTGGATGTACAGTCATGATAAATACTATAGGGACAAGATAAAAATTCTTTTTCTTGGCCAATACAGCCCACTTCATCCATTAGTATATCGCTTGAATTCCATGGACCAGAACCAAAAAAGGACTTGTCAAATACCCTCTCAGCACCCCTGAATTAGGATTTGGAGAAAATATCAGTTTCAACACATGCTGAATACAATTATACTTCTTATCATATTCGTTTTATTTCAATGGTATTGAATTATCATTCCTTGTGGCTTCTTTTCATTGCAATTTATTTATTTGGTGCAGTGACCAGGATATTTCTAAATTCCGCAGTTTAATTTATGACTTATATATAGCAACAAATAAGTTGACTACAGGTGTTCTCAGCACTTCGACGTCATATTAAAAATATTCGATAGTATGGCACTTACGTTATATTTGAGTGTATTAAGTAGTATTGAAATTATATTTTATACACACTATGAACTTGTTTTTATTGTACTTAATTCATTTGTTATTTAACAATATTTTTTGGAAGTTTGCCGCCGTACACTATACTTTCACTGAAAATTTTTAATGCTATTGTATTAGATCTGACATTGTTAAACAAACTGTCAATGGAATCAATTTTTTTTTTTGTAATCTAGAACGCACGCTACCTCGTAAACCCCATTTGTCTACAGGCCACGTGACCGTCCATGATATCCAGGTTGTCATCACAGATTGGCCCCCATTTCCCGCCTCTGTTAACTTCAAGGCGACCAGAATGGTACAATGACCAATTTCCGTGGTTACCAAACCTTAGATAAAAGATTAATAGCTCAAAATTATTCCACTGGAATTGAAAATTAATGATTATTTTTAATGTTCTAATCCAATTTTTTGGCACACATACGCACACACAAACATAATTATTACGTACCTCAGCCTTTGTAATGTATGAGGGGCCGTCACATTGACGTTCGACGCTCTATTTGCAGACTTGCCCCTCCTACCGAGGCCTTGTCTACGTTTATTGTTCTTTTTCTTCAAATAAAAGACAGAAATGATTATATTTTTTTAAAATTTGATATTTATCAATGTCACATTTTACATCATACGTAGCCCATCCTGAAGGACTATGTTCACTTTCAGTCCAAACTGAACCCTTTCAACTGTTTCTTCAATAGAAAAATAAGTATAGGCATTCTTTAAAAATCATTTTTACTTTCTTCGTGCTTTAATGTTCAAAAAAAGTTAAAAGATATATAACGTGATCAAAATCTGACAGCAAAAATAGAAAATGTGTGATAAAGTATAAAGTATTTTCCTCGGATTCACTCTCTACGTAGCTTGATTATGCTCATTGTTTGATTTGTGCTTCCTCATAGGCATACTTGAATGAAGAAGATTTGGACTGTAATAAGTAAATGTTTTTCTTACAATCGTGTAGTCTTCTTTGTAATTAATATGATTCATAACTTTCCCAGAATTACAGCATACTGACGTCACATGTCTAATCAGAATTACCTCTGTTTCTATTCATATGTAAGAGATAGAGTTATATATACAATGTTAACAAATGTAATGCCTCCTTATAACAATAAATAAGTTGTGTAAGAAGTGGCATCCGTGAGAAATACTTCATATATGTGAGTTTTAATCTTAAATCAATTATATCCAACTTTCACATTTACAATATTGAAACTAACATTAACCTTACGTGTAACTATATACAGTACAATAAAATTCCTTGTACACGCTCACAAACTAAACTTGCTAAAAGATTTACCGACGTGCATGAAATGTTCTTATTTAAAGATATTACCTCATTTCCTCGACAGAAACCTTCTTCTAATAAAAGGAAAATTACAAGAAATGCGAGTGCCGGGAACTTCATGTTTCACTCTGAGTCACCTTGTCGCTAGTGATGTTTTTATAATGATCATCTCTTCAGATTGAATCATAGGAAATCTGGACACTCCAAACCACTTAGCTAGAGACTACTTATCATTTTCCTTATTCATGACTTGCATTTAACTGAAGAGAGAGAGAGGGAGAGAGAGAGAGATTCCGTATAGTTTCTGTATTATTTTAGACAAACATATCGTATCTTCATGTTTTCCAACGGTTCATATTCCCGTCAAAATATGATTAGGTCATTTTTTTTTGCTTGTAAGAGCCTTCAATCATTCAGTAGATTGCGTGATTATGTTTCTATTTCGCATCAAACCACTAATGCATAGTTCACAACGTAAAACAAAGGACGAGTGACAACGTAAGCCTAGCTGTAATTGAAGGTTATCTCTTTTCCAATAGAATGCATATCCCCTTTTATGCTTGCATATTATTTGGAGGAATTAGTGAGTACGATGAATAACCATATACATATTAAGCCTCCTCATTACCTCAAAAAGCTAGCATATTGGTCTGCAGTTTACAGCGCGAAACGACAGTCTCGAAATGGACACAGTGTGACCCAAGAAATGTAAGCATACAAAGTATTATAATGGAGTTTGTAATTTCATTTTTGTAACTCGTCCAAAATAGAAATAGATCATCCGGTCATAATATTCCATTACAAAATTGATCATTTCAGAGTAACTTCCTTTAGCGCATAGTACGTCTCGTCACAAACATCGGGGTTTATAATCCTTATAGATTTTGTTTTTTATTCAGAAGTCCTATATATTTTCTTTTGTTTGGAAGGAAGGGGCTTTTGTAATTACATCCCAGAGTTGATTTTATGACTATACACTTTTTTATATTAATTTAATATTGATATGCTTCCAATAGTATTGAAGACGAACATAATCTTAGAATGAATGGAAAGAAGATGGAAGAACAAGGCGAGAGAAATGCCTATAGTGCGACCAAAAAAAAAATCTCAATTATGAAAAAAATTTCTTTGATATTTCATCTAACATTTACGAAAACCGGATAGGCTCAAGACAAAAAAAATATTTAACTCGTTATAACGAGATAATTATCTCGTAATAACGAGTTAGTATCTCGTTATAACAAGCTAATATCTCGTTATAACGAGTTAGTTATCTCGTTATAACGAGTTAGTTATCTCGTTATAACGAGAAAACTGTCTCGTTATAACGAGTTAGTTATCTCGTTATAACGAGTTAGTATCTCGTTATCACGAGTTAGTATCTCGTTATAACGAGTTATTTATCTCGTAATAACGAGTTAGTTATCTCGTTATAACGAGATAATTATCTCGTTATAACGAGATAAAAATTGATCTAGAATTGATATATCTAAGTAAAGAATAGACCATTATTTATAGGAAATATACAGAAGCAAGTCGATCAAATTTGTTTGAAGTGTGCGTGATAAAGATTTTATGGAACAGCATACTAGTTTTTTTGTGTTATGCCTTTGATTAGTTTTGTTTATTGGGAAGACCGAAGACAAATATACGGAAACTTGTGACCGCCTCATGTTGTTGTGTTATACCTTAAAATTGCAAAATAGAATTAGTGTCATCTTCAAATGGAATGTATATAACATCAAAATTTTGTCAACTTGTACAAGGAGATCAGAAAAAAATGATATACTCTGGCTGATTTAACTGCCCTGTTCAAGCTTTTTTTGAATTTGTTAAAATTATAATAATGTTTGCATAATATTTGTCGCAATAAAAAATGCATAGAAATAATCCCATTATTTTGAATATTCCGAATAAATCATGTGGATATGAAACCATTTGTTAGGCTTTAACGATCATATTTTGATAATTCCTTGCCTGTTAACAAGGAATACCAGTTCAATTTTATCGTCTTAAAGGGGCAAGATCAAAATGCAATGTCTGACAAAAAACTAAATCCACGTTGTTTTTATCATCAATCCCCCCTTCCCCTCAATAAAAAATATGATGAATATCAAGAACTAATACTGTACTTATCACTTAATAATTTATATATTTCTTCTGTTTATTAAAAGAAAGAAACATTTTAATTTGGCATGGAATCTTAAATTACAATATGTAATTTTTGCGTTTTTATTATCAATGTGGTAGAAATAAAAAAAACTTTTGGAGCTCTTTATTCTACGGAAGCCACAATAAAAGGTGAAGGTCAGCATTAGTAAAAACAGTTGACATGTGATCCTTTTTGGGTATAGAATGAAAGTTTAATATCTAAAGTTTACAATATGATAAGCATTACTTAAGGTGTATTTCAAGCATAAATTTTGCAAAATTTGTGTATTGTATGTTGAGACAGGATTTTTGATATTTTCACTCGTGCTTCGCACTCATGAAAATATAAAAAAAAATTCCTGTCCCACTCGTGAAATAAATTCCATATCAACTACAAAACATTGAATATCCTCTATTTATTACCTCCCCCCCCAAAAAAAAGTCATCAATCTCTTTTTGAAATAAATATTATATGCTTGTAAAGTATACATAATAAATATTGTGATGAGGAAAATAATTAACGACATTGCTTCAATGTTGTATTAATAATATAAATGTACATATGTAGTATTAGGCCTATTCGTTGATCAATCCTAAGTAAAAAGATTATAAAAGTGAACTGGCTTTGTAAACTCCGTAAACTTTTTGTTTTGTTTTGTAAACTCTGGTTTAACGTTCTGACACTATGTGTTAAACATATAGGATCCGCCAAATAGACGTGAATCTCAAATAGGTCTCCGTGAATCTCCACATCTTGGACACCCCCCCCCCCCCCGCAAAAAATATAAACAGTGAATCATGACAGAATATTAGATAAAATGTCAATATCAGCAGATCAGATTTAACGTCTTATTACTTAAAAGGATGTAATATCATTTTTGCTTCACCATTCCTCATTATCGTGGACAATATGCATTAGCTAAGTCACGAAGTTCAAGGGGGGGGGGGGGGTAAACCAAGTAAAATATTTGACAAGTAAAAAGAAAAAAAAATAGATTTGATATTCCAACTACGAGTATTCGCCATTATTTTCGGGAGATATTTACTCAGGTAAAAAAAATATGGAGGAAGGGGCACAAAGATACTCTTGACCGCCCCCTTTTCAAAAGTGGTGGTGTGGACATTAGCCCTTCTATTACTACGCCTATGATCTAACTGCTGATGTCTCACCATCCCCAGTCTTCAAAACATTTCTGAATCTCAGAAGTAACATATGTATAACACTGTAATCTATATATTATATGTTGCATAAACGATATGTTGCACTTATATTGTCTCTGATATTTAATTTTAGCGGTATAGAAATTGATATATGAAAGTGTATACCGGTAAGTCGTCCAAAACATATCGAAATAGTGTCATTCATCAGAAATAGTTGTCATAAATAAATTGCCAAAGTTTGAAGCAAGTATGTTTGGCAATATTATTTTAAGAAAAATATCGCGTCCTAATGCAACAATTTGAGGAGGAGAATGTGTTCGCCTTAGAGTTGCTATAATTATTGACAGCGAGATAGTTCAAGATTTAATCAGATTTAATCAGAAGTAAACCCCAGAGCAAATTAAATTTTCAACCATTTATCAATTGTTCAAGTTAAATTTAACTGATAATTACTTGCTAAAAATTCAATGGCATTTAAAACTGCAACCATTTTTATTCCTATATTGCTATTAAGTCTCGAAATAACAAGAAAACTGTCTCGTTATGACGACATAACTAACTCGTTATAACGAGATACTAACTCGTTATAACGCGATAATTATCTCGTTATAACGAGATAACTAACTCGTTATAGCGAGATAACTAACTCGTTATAACGAGATAACTAACTCGTTATAACGAGATACTAACTCGTTATAACGAGATAACTATCTCGTTATAACGAGTTAATTATTTTTTTATCTTGTCAAAAATGAGCCTATCCGGCTTTCGTAAACATTAAAGTATAATTCATGAAAAATCTCACAAAGATTGAAATTATCCGCATATGAAGTAGCATACACACACCAAAGAGGGCACAAAGGAGAATTTTCTCATATTCTATGTAAGTGGGTCTTTGCTTCATTTTTTATTTTTGAAAGTTTATCCTCAAAGTTTGCGTTAAAATATACATCTTTTGATTGACAAAAACATAGAGCAAAGACCCACTATACCCTTAAAAATACACTTTTATGACACTGCATTCGTATCATTTAGTCAAGGGTCATATCACAAAGTTAACATGATTTAAATGCCACTTTTCAACAGGAGTTGTGTAGCGTAGTGGTTAGTGCGTTAGTCTGTTATAAAAGGGTTTTTATTTTAAGCGTGTTAGTCTCAAAGGAAAATGATACATGGGATTTTTATTGCTAGGCTTCAAACTCCAAGAATACCACGTTATTCTTTTTTAATATTAGAATAATTTTTGCCGAGAAAATTTTCCGCAGAAAAGTTTTGTTTGTCAAACTTTCCTAAATTTCAATAATGAAAACTTTAATCTCTAAATTCGCAAATTGAATATGATTTTGATATGTCTGAAGTTATAGGCATTTTGCACGCCTTGTTCGTCAATATCTTTAAAAACTTGTTCAGAGAGAGAAAGAGAGGGGGAGGGAGAAAGGAAAGGAGAATTTAAAATCATCAAAAGCAGATTTACTTTATTTATTTATGCAAAACGAAAACGGAGAGAAACGTAGATGAGTCAAATTGAGCAGAGTTTCAGCTCTTTAGGTTCGGAGTTTAGAAGGATTTTAGTGTGTTGTAAATTTTTTGAACACGGAGTAAAAAATGATAAAAATCAAATTCTTTTTTGAAAAATATATTGTGAATCTTTAACCAGAGAACTCAATAGACTAGACTTCAAAAGAAAGCCTATCTATCTGAGTGAAATGAAAAATTAAACAAAAATTTAAAACTGTACAATTATATTTTATTCTAGTTCTGGATCATGCTATGGCATTTGGACTAGACTTGTATATATGAATCACAGTGATTAAATAATATATATCCCAAACAAGCC